GAGGAATGGGAGAGGGTGGACGAGTTGGTCATTACTGAGGTGCAAGCAGCACGCTGCAGTTGACCATCTTGTCCACTAGGAGGAGGAGGTTCGCCTAGGTGGTGTCCTCCAGTGCCTGGAGTCCAGTCGACACCTCCTTTGGGCGACCTCCGCATCCTACCTCCTATCCTCGTCCCGTTCCTCGGTCACGTGAGTTGCTCCCGTCACCCTGAGTCAGCTCTCCCTGTAGCTGTACGTTGTAGTTAGACGAGAGACTATCTGATTCGTCGTTTGCGAGTTTACTGAGCGAACCCAAAGCTCATAGCCATCAAGTCATCAGAAACAGGCAACAAGTCACAAATAATAAGATCAGGTCTCTTAGTCGAGGCTGAAACCTTTCTTCTCCTACCAGTCGAACTTCACATCTATTGCAGATGTGCTTACGTCTGCCGTCTGCCCTTCTACAGCCACTTCAGTCTCTGGACCCTGTGCAGGATAACTAGTCGCCCCGCCGCCTCCAGTCGACGATCTGTGAGCTAGGCCGCTCGTCTGAGTACCGCCTAGAGACGTCGTTTTCGGCGTGTTGTCGTTGACTGCCTGAGCGACCGTTTGCAAGGACAGAACAGTGAGCTCCGGTGAAAATGGTTCCGATAGTGTGGTCTGAGAAGACCAGCTCGGCTTAGTATGAGTATGGCCTGACATGAGTTGAGCGAACTTGAGTTCTCTCAGGGTTCGCTGTGTGTGGTCCCTCATGTAAACCTTCTCTACGACCGACGTGTCCTTCCACCGCCCGTACTCGGCTATCACAGGCAAAGGCACCCCTGCATCAGCGAGTAGACCCACGCCAGTCCTCCGCATACTATGAGAGGTTTTTCTGCCCACCTCGACGTCCGGGTTCACATTCTGGAAGACAGCACTCACCAAAAATTTGATGTCGGTTGACAGTTGGTTATACGTCAATCCGAAGACCGTAGGACTGTGATGTCTCTGCGGTCCCCTCTGCAGTAGTCGGTAAAGTTGATGCATGGCGCAGAGTTCATCCGAACAGACGTCGTGACAACTGAGACCTTGCGAACAGCCGAGGACGACGACGGCTCCGGTACCAGCTTGGTCGGTTTTGGACGACCGTACGTGTAGCAGCAGATAACGAGCCTGGTGACCAATGTGAATGTCTGCAGGGGTGAGAGAAGCGACCTCCCTCAGCCGAAGAAGGGCGAAAGTACCCGTTAAGAAGGCTATCCGCGTATCTTCCCTTCCGGAAGGCGGAACAAGCTTGAGTAAGAGAGATATCTGTTCGAGGGACAAAGTAACGGTTCGTTTAGTGTCACTGCCCTTGAGCATACGCTTGGCAGCCTGCAGCGCTAGGCGGACTTGTTCCTCCTCCGCTACTGAGAGAGATGTGACCTCGTATAGACGTCCTTCCGTGCGGATGGTACTTAGATAAGAGGTCACTGTACTGTACCTCAAATTCTTCTTCGTGAGACTGACGAGGTACATCACCAGCGACGTGGCCGAGACTGGAAAGGCAACTATCCCCATGAGCGTACATAATTCAGAGTATCTTGCTATGCAAGAAGCACGTGCCGAGTTGGTGGTCACAGCCCTAGCATTGTCTAGATGCTCACCGATGTCCTCAGGACTCACAATCGGCAATGCAGATCGAGGCTGTAGCCCCCTCGACCGCTTATCAGCCAAACCGGCGCCGCCCGAGGTGAGCGTAGAAGACGTAGAAGGTAGACTGAGAGCACGACGTGGTAGTAGCGCAGCAGGAGATGAGCGCATCGGCCACGAGGAAGGCGCCGGGCGGTCGAACGGTGACACTCGTAGAGCAGGCTTGATTCGGGAGACAGGCAGCTCGCGTCCGCTACGGAACTCTCGTGCCACCGACGGCAGAATAGCTGGAGTCATTACTTAGGGAGTAAAGTAGGAGGAGAAATAGTGTTAAACTGTACGTCACAAACCATCAATCACCTTCTCAATATGAAGAGGAAGAGTCAACGTGCAAAGAAGGTGGGAAAGACATTAGGAAGAGAGAGCAGCATAGACCATACGAAGATCATTACTCAGATCAAGCTCGTCACCTAACGGGGACATAACTGTTCGAAGATCTCGATGAGAAGTACGGGAAAGGAAATCGGCAAGAGAATTATGATCGCCGCTGATATGATGCGCACGAAGAACAAAGCCCCCAACTGGCCAAGCTGTGGAAAAATAGTGTAGCAACTGGCGAAGACGGTGAGACCCTGCTCTGTTGTTGTTGATAGCATGAACAGTGGGGGTGTTATCACACAGGACCGTTATTGAGCTTGGAGAGCGCTTCAAAGCATGACTCACGCCAACCCCCGCTGCTAAAAGCTCCAAAGGACATATGTCTGCACTCGAGATAGAGAAGAGGGATTGCAGACGAGCAATCACTTGAGGGAATTCGGTGTATTGCGTAGCATACCATTGGAGGTCGCTTATGGCACCCGAATCGTCGAGGTCAAAAACAACGCCTCCTAGACCATGAAGGGAAGCATCTGACACAACAACAGTTGCACCATGGCCAACGGGAAGTTCCCATCCTAGTAGCTGAGAAGCCGTGGTATTAGTGAGGGTTGGCCGTGAGAGAATGTCGATGAACAACTCCACCGCTGTTCGTGCAGCTCGACCAAGTCGACAGTGCCGTAGACTATATTTTCTAGCGGACGCTTGAATAGCATATAATGGGCTAAGTTGAGGTCGCAGCCGTGGTAGGATCTGAGTTAACCATGTCAGTCTACCAATCAGTTTATCAAGTAAGCTCGTGGGAATGGCAGAGACAGGGTGTAGGGTTTGACTGAGCTGTTCCAGTAACCGCTGACGCTTATCGGACGGCACTGAGACAGTGGATGTGCGCAGATCCCACTCATAACCCAGGCTATGTGGAGTAGTAC